TTTTTTTTTTTTTTTTTTGTTTTGTTTTGTTTTGTTTTGTTTTGTTTTAATTCCTTTTGCAAGCAGAAAATACCTGTCCCACCCAGGAGGTCAGGTGGTTTGTAGCTTCTGCAGCTACAAAGAAAACAGACACTGAAGTGAATGTGTCCACTTTGGGCTGCTTTGAGAGATTAGGTTGAGATCTGAAGTTTTAATCTTTCAAATTTCTAAATGCACACCACCAGTTTCTCCACTAGCTCCTCACAAGGTTTTAGGAATTTTTTAGTTTAAAATAGAACATTTTGGCATTCACCCTTCGGGGCCAGCAGTGATCACTGGAGGGTTTTGCTCATTTAATCAGAATTTAATTTTTTCCTGCAGGAAGTAATGCTGAACAAAATCAATCCATTTCACTCAGCAGCGCTGAGGAGCGAGGCTGCAGTAGGATAAGTGACAATTTTTCTGGTCTGAACACAGATTGGAACTATAAAATATAGATTGGAGCCTGGATAACCTGGTCTAGTGGAAGGTGATGAGCTTCAAACTCCCTTCCACGCCAAACCATTCCACAATTCTCTGCTTCTGTGGCTCCTGAGTCCAAGCAGGAATTAAGATCTCACTGTAGGAAGGTGTATAGGATAAAATTCTAGAAATAGCTCTGTCCAAACATGGTGCTGCATTTAATATCTTTGGAAAAAAGTGAGTTCAGCAAATGAAGATATGTAAGAATACGTGGAGCCCTTCAGCTGTTCCTTTGCTCTGAAAAGCAGCCAGGACTGTGTTTAGAATAGGAAACAAAAGTGCAGTTTGGCACCTTCCCTCTCTCCAGCTGCAAATGTGATGTGCAAAATATCAAGAGTTTTATAGGTGTCTTGGATTTGGCTTAAATTGTTTAGTGAGTGGAAAAAAAATCCTGTATCTTGTGAGTGGAAGCAGGCACTTGTATTTGTGAATTGGGCATTTATATGCAGTGCTACTACTGTGCAAATCAAAATGCTAATTTCATGCATGCAGATGGGGACATGGAGCAAACGTGGCTTTTCTGCCAAACAGTTCTGGCTGGTTTATCACAATAAATGCAACTGTCCCTTCAGGACTGCCACAGGAAAGGAAAACCTTAATAGAAAACCTGTTTTCCATTGTATAATGGTAAACAGCTAAAAGAAGCTGTGAGGCCCAAATACCAACATCCAACATTAAAGATTTAGGGAAATCAACACAAAGGTACAGGACTCCTGAGGAGCAGTGGCCCACCTCCCAGACAATCCTTTTCAGCACACAGATTTATCCTGGATTTGATTTTCGAACACATTTAACAAATTATCCAGACTTCAGGCCTCTTGCTGAGGTTTTGCAGGTACAAGCCCACAGATTTAGTGAGTATTAACTGTGCTGGCTAAAAACAGCACATTACAAAACCTGGCATGCATTTGTGTGTCTGCCTGGATATTGTAGGAAGGAATCTGTTCCATTATTAACTCTCAATCTGCAACTCAGCAGACTGAGGAGAGGAAAGTAACCTAAAAACGTTTATAAAGCTATTTTTGCTCCTAGCTTAAACTTCCTCAAATTCTTAAGACTTCAGGTTTGGCCATTTAGAATGGGTGTCAAGCCTGGTTTTTATCTGGGTGTAAATAGGAAAAGAAGAAACTTGCAGGTTTCTTTGAATTTTAAGCTGATGAAAAGGCTCCTTTAAAGGGGTTGTTCAAGACAGTCAGGCACTGGATTTGGTCCAGAGAACCTCTTTAGTCTCACCTATTTTAAAGCAACTAAGGTATGATATTTAGGCAGAATTCTGACATTGCTGGGTTGTGTTCACAGGCCTGAAATCTGAATTGGTCACACGACAAGCACATGAAGGGCAGCTCTGTCAGCAGCCTGACCATGGCACTGTGGCTTGCAGGGATCCCTTGGAGGTGTTTGCATTTCATTTGTAGAAGGGCAGCTGATAAGCAGTGTGGTTTCCTTCAGGGGATTGCATTTCACCCCTTCCTGGTGGTCTTAAAATCTGGACTCATCCTGTTCCTTGGATAATGAATTTTTTGGTCAGTGATGGGCAGGGATCACGGGGTGCTGGAGATGTGGAGATCTGGGACCAGAAAGCTGCTGGGTAAAGACAGAGTGGTCCAGCTGGGTAAAAACCAAACAGCAAAAGAAAAAAGAAAAAAAAAAAAGAGGAATTAAAATATTTATCCTTCCTAGGATGTTTGCACTGAACTTGTCTTTAAGTAGCTGAGTAATCTTAACACCAGCCTGACGTAGGTGCAGAACGACACTGAGCTGCTTTGTTTTCAAAACTCCCATCTAAACCAAGTTGATTTTAAAGTGAAGCTGAAAGTGTTGAGAAAACCATCTTGGGACAGAACTTTTGGTGTAATAAATATTTCCATTCTTGCCTATTGCAAGGCTGATAAAACAGACAGAGCTTTTGCAGTTGGCTTGGCTCTGGCCAGATAAATGTTCCTTTGCTCACATGACTGGGTGCCACTGCTCAGCACAAGCGTTCACACACAGAAAATTATCCCACAAAACCCCCCTTGTGCTGAAGTATTTGCAATACTGACCCTTTTTGCAGTCAGGCTGGAATAAACAGCTTTTTAATTTGTCTGGCAGGCCCAGTTACACCTGCATTAGAAGAAGCCCCTAAACACAAAGTTTAAAGTCTTAAGGAGCACCAATTATTTTTCATCCTAAAAATCACTCCATCCTCTATAAACACCCGCAAGGCAAAGGTTCTGCAAAGAGATCAGGTGGTGGAATGAGAGTGTTTCATGCACCTATACAGGATTTTAAGGTGCTGTCCTTACTCCAGCATTTTGCTTAAAGGAAATATCACCCTCACACAATCGTTTCTTTGAATAATTGCATTCTAAGCAGCATTCTAATTGCATTCTAATTTCCAGCCAGCTTTCCCTTTATTCACAGGGCACTTACCCAGGCACATCTTCAATTAGCCTAAATGCTTCTGCTGGTTTTTCACATAGCCGACCAAATTGTTGGAATTGCTCCCTGTAAAACAAACATCAGCAAAGTCAGGTTTTGGGCTGGGCTGTGGCAGTGGTTTCTAGAGGTTCTCTCAGCAGTGCAGTTTATAATTTCTTGTTAGTGAAATAATCTCACAATTATGAGTTTGGTAGCTTTTTATTAGCAAGGCACAAAATGGTTAACTAACTCTTGTTGCAAGGTCTTTTAAAACAAAATTATTTAATTAAGAAAGGACACTTAGATTATTTTTCCATTTAACCTAATAACTGATCCTTTGAAGCCCACAATGCAGACTTTTCTGTCCAATCCCAAAACATTACTTAAACTCATGAAGAAGAAGGAGAAAGAAGGTAAAGAACAACTTGTCTCTAATCTAAAACTTCTATCTTGCTTCATATTTATTTCTATATTCTAAAACCCCAAACCCTAAGTTTTTCACTCTGTGATATCACACATTTCTAACTAACTATATACTCAGTAATCTCAGTACAATAAATCCATTTTTAAAGTCTTCTCCACAGCTTCAGGTCAAATGTATTGTTCTCTTGTGGGTCTGTGCCTTTCAGTACAGAACTGTACTGAAAATTCAGAACTGTACTGTCTAAAATCCTTAGCATCCAGGATTCCAACCTATGGTATCATTATTTATCAGAGAGCTGGGCTAGCCCACACTGGAAGAGAGCAAAGAAATCCTCTCATGGTTTTATCAGCCAAAGTGGCCGAATTTGGCTGTTTGTAAATTTTATGTCAAAGATGCTGTTTGGTTATACCTGAATGTCACTTCCATTCTGATCCACATCCAAGAGGGAGGAACCAGGAGCTTTGGAACTGTGACAAAGATGTGGGAGATGCTCCTGCTTTCTGTGAGCCCCAGATTTGTGAGAGGGACCTGACACCTCTGAGGGAATTCACTGGCTCCAGCCATCCCTTATCTCTTACCACAGCCCAAGACCTGCTTTTGACAGAACTCTGTGTTCAGCTGCAAGGAGCCCTGGGGCCAAGAGCAAAGCTCTAAAAATATGCTTAAAAATAAAAATAGATTATTGGACTGGGTGGTTCCCCTGGCAGAAGACCTTTTAACTCATTCTGTCAAGGCTGAAAATTCTGGTTCTCACAACTCCACAGTCAGGACATTGTAGATTTTCAAATAAGATCTTCTGACCAAGGCATAGAGAGTTGAACATAAAGAATCTCTTTTTTTCTATGTACAAACCTTAATTTCACAAGGAGCAAATTCCCTGTAAGCATTGCAAAAATGATAAAGCTTAATAACAACAACAACCACAACCACAACAACAACAACAACAAACACTTCATGCCAGCAGCTTACCAAAATATTCCTTGTAATACTTATGCCTCAGGTTGTGTCCATCTGGAAAAGAAGGTACATGGTGAGAACATACCCAGCCAGCTTTTATTTTTTGTGTTAAACTCTGGCCTTCGGTGTACAGCACAGAGAAATTAGAGATAGGGAAATAATAACCTCACAATGAGGGAAATAAAAGTCCTCTGTAGCTGAAGTAATTTGGGTTGCTGTAAAACTCTTATAAACTGCTGAGATTACTGAGCTCTGCGGGCACAACCCATTTGCCATAAGAGTGGGAATTGTCACTAGCATTTTATAACCTTTTCAATAGCTACAAGTCAAAGAGCCAGAGGCTTTCCCAAATGAAATAAAATTTGGGTAACAGTTCAGACCATCTATTAGTATTTTACATAATTCAAGTTCTAGCTATTTTCTTCTGTTTGCCACTTATATAATTATCTAAGCCCTTAGAAATACTTCATGTCTAGGATCCCCACAGTTCTACATTATGTTGGTTACTATAAATGTTATAAAATAAAAGGTTATAAAAGAGAGGATTCAAAAGCCCTGGAAAAAAAAAACTCTCCATCTGTTTTGGAAGCAGCTCAGAGACCTGGTTTGATGCTTCCCCTGGTTTTTACAGTGACCAAACAACAAAACTAATGTCTCATGTCTCTGCATTGAGGTAATTTGTAGCCCAGTGCCAGTGTACATATCCTACCATTCAATGAATATCTAAACATGTTATAAGCTTTCCTGGAAAATATTTTGGCATGTATGAAATTATTTTTCGGGCAAATGCGTCAGCAGGATAAAGGCAACAAAGTTTTGGATGCAGAAAGCAAAGACAGAAGACAAAACTGGAATTTAAAACTCAGATTTCTCACTGAAGTGTGCAGTAACTTATAAATATTTTTAGTTTTTGTGCTGTGTAGTAACAGCACATGCAGACACAGTCCCAGAGGACACTGGCACAAGTGTATTGGTGTCCTGGTCCCTTCCTTCCTGGCTCTGCCCTGCAAACATCAGCATGCAGGAGAAGTTTTTTTCCATCCAAGAGAGGGGGGGAAATGTGGGAAATGGACTTGTAGAGAATTCTCCAAGCCTGACAGAAGGCTCACACAGTGTGCATCTGTATGCAGACTTTGAGACAAGAAATGCTGACTTAGAAATGCCATGGAGCAGGACAGGCACTGCTGAGAGAGAAATGAAGCCAGAAACAAGTTTCAAAGTGTGGCCTTGCAAATAAGACTGGATACTTTAGAGAAATAGAACTATGAAAGATGCATTGGAGTAGGACCCACGAGGGGTAGTTTTAGATTATTTGCTTTAAGGCATTTACAGCATGGTGTGGTTAAAGCTGATAGGCCAAGAAACGCTTATAATGTATTGTAATAAATAAAATAGTTGGCTTCTGATTGTGATGGCACGAATTATAACATCTGTATTGAAGTATTCCTTCTGATGAGACTGAAAATGGAATAAAAGTTTTTAAAACACCTCTCAGCTACCCCATGCCTGAGTTAGAAAAAGGCATAATCCAACAGAGGGAGGGTTCCTGCAGGAACCTACCTGAAGAAAAGGCATAATCCCACAAAGGGAAGTTTCCTGCACTGATTTACCTGAAAAAAATGCATAGTCCCCCAAAGGGAGGTTTCCTGCAGGGACCCACCTGGGAAAAAGCATAATCCCACAAAGGGAGAGTTCCTGCAGGGACCCACCTGGGAAAAAGCATAATCCCACAAAGGGAGAGTTCCTGCAGGGATTTAACTGCAAAAAGGCATAATCCCACAAAGGGAAGTTTCCTGCAGTTACTACCTGGAAGAAGGCATAATCCCCCAGAGGGAGGATTCCTGCAGGGATCTACCTGGGAAAAGGCATAATCCCAAAAAGGGAGGTTTCCTGCAGGGATTTACCTGGGAAAAGGCATAATCCCCCAGAGGGAGGGTTCCTACCTGGATTGCCCCGGAGCTTGATGCACTGGCCCCTGTTGGGGATGCCCTCGGCCGTGTTGCCCGGGTTGATGATGTGGCACTCGTAGCCCGTGGGGCAGTGCAGGGGCTCGTCCCCATCCTCCGTGGTGCTGCAGGCCTCAGCTGCAAGAGAAACCTGCAGTTGTGACCCCCGTGGGGACCCCAGCACGGCCACCACCCCCTCTGAGGCTCCTTGGCACGAGGGCAGCACGGGGCTGGTCCCTCCTGGCACAGCTCAGCCCTGTTCCCTGCACATCCCACCCCACAGCCCGCTGTGCCACCCCTGCTGTAGGGTTTCAGCTTGTATGTTTGCCATGTATTTGTAATCCTGCAAGTCTTTAGTGTGATGCCTTAAGTTTTAGCTTCTGTATTTTGCAGGTTCTGTACTGCATTGGTGTGAGACTCTGAGCTTCGTAGAAATTGTTAGAGAGTTCTGTTCACAGTTTAGTCAGACACAGCAATCCTCTTCCAGCCCAAGGACCAAGGACACCGTTGTAGTTTCAAGCCCAAAAGGTATAAACACCAGGGAATTGAGGAGAGCAAACTGGGAGGATGGGACTGCATAACCTGCAGCTGTAATTGGACAAATAACCCCAATATGGAAATGGACCAAAACTTATAAAAGTGTGAAAACTGTATGAAACCCATCATCCATCTTGGCTGTTGTACTGCCCAAGATGTATCCATTGAGGCCTTTTAATAAATCCTATTTTATTCCTTTAACTCTGGCCAGCCTCTGTTCCAGGTCGCCTCATTAGGCATCAAGTGTGTAACTCTGAACTCCATGTCCAGGGTGAGCTGCTGCTTTCCCATTTTGGGCAGACAAAATTCCTCTCCAGCCCTGGAAATCAAGGACACCTCACTGCCTCAGCCCTGAGAGATGGAAACAAAAGTGAGTTCGGGGGAGCAAACTTGGGGTAAAAGACTTCATACCTGAAGATGTAATTGGAAGATTAACCCCCAATATGCAAATGGACCAAAGTTATAAAAGAGTGAAAACCCTGTGATCTGCTGTTCATTTTTGGGTGTAGCCCCTGGGGTGCCCTAAATGTACCTGAAGACCCTTCAATAAATATAAATAAACTGATTTTTATCCCCTTAATTTTGTCTGACCTCTGTTCTTAGGTAACCCAGAAGCCATCCAGCACTGCCCACCATGCAGTATGATCCCCCATGGGATCATCAGGGGTAAGTGTGTCCCACTCTGGGCTGGGTGAGGATTGGGAATGTGAGCAGGAAGCTGGCAGTGTGCTGCTCTGTGCTCTGCTCCACACCCATAACCTGTTGCTGAATCCAAACCTCAGGTGTGACTCACTGCAGGGTCAGGCAGTGCCACCCCTGTCCCAAAGAGAGGTTTCACCACTTTGACCTGGGACAGGCAGCAAGTGCAGCTCAGAACGGGAAGGCAAAGCAGATTTGGGCCAAGTGTTTGTGGCCATTACATGTACAGACTCTGCAGGGCCACTCCTCCCTCTCATTTTTAATTTCAAGTAGCTCTGCTATAATTCTCATGCCATGACTGATGGTTCTTACTTCCATAATTACTCCCTCAAGCTCAGATGAAGGTGTTCAGATAAGAACAAATAATATAAGTGTGACAAGGATGGATGAGGAGGAACCTATTTTATCTTATTTCTAGCTGTGCAGCTCAAGTGAGCTGGAGGCAGAATTTTCTCTTCAAGAACTTGGAGTTTCCATAATAGATGAGAGTTGAAGCTCAGCGAGTCTAAAATCATCTGTGTGAGACCAAAGAGAGGAATTTATTGGCACTACCTGGATCTGACTAAAGCTGATCAAAAGCTGGGTTAACTTTTCCATGTAAAACCCAAAAACTTCAGGTGTCCATACATCTGGGAATGCCTCATGGAAGAAAACTTCTCTTCCCACCTCCCCATTCCTTCCTTAATTCAGTTTTAGGTGTTGGAAAAAAGTAAATTAAAACCCCTTTCCCTATGGGATGAACCTGAGAAGCTCAATCTCATTGTCAGTCTCCAAGCTTAGATGCCCCAGGTTCACGTCAGCTTGGCACAGCTCTGCTGCACTTTGCCAGGGCTCCTGTCCAAATTAACTTCAGATCCAAAAGCCACAGCCCCAGCCCAAGGCATCTGGGTGATGAGGCCACTCTGGATTAAAGGATCTCCCATTCCAAGTCCACCCACGGTCTATTAGGAAGCTGGCAGAAAATTATGTGTGTGATGACAAAGCCTTTTTCAAAAACAAAGATATATCTCTAATTATTTGAAGAATGGGTACAAGCCCAGTCCCCTGCAGCATTCCTAGTGCTCTGCTAGATAATCCATATCCATAAAAAGTATTTACTGTACCAGAAAGCAGCTCCCAGCACCACACTGAGTTATTCCTGTGGAAACTCCAGACAAATACCAGCAGCCCCAGCAGCCCAAGATCCCAGGCAAGCTCTGTCTATGAGGGATTTATTCTCCAGGTATTTGTGTGATCGTGGACACTGCAGAGAAGACAGAAAAATGTCCCGTACCTTGTAAGACTTCCTCTGGGCCATCCAAAAGCCACCCATTGCCTCCCAGCCAGCGGGGTTTGGGCTGAACCAGCCAGTCCAAGACTGCAGAAGAGAGAAAGAAGAGACCACAGTGTCATGATGTGGCAGCCACAGGGCAGAGTTATGGAAAAGTCATGGATTTCCTCTATGGGCCTGTGAGGAGGCTGCCTGATGGATTGATCTGATTTGGATTTATATTCATGTTTTGGTTGTCCCAGTGGAAAGGGAGACATGGATGTTATCCAGGGCCACAAGAAGCTGCTGTCCTAGAGGCCCAAGCTCTGAGAATGGCTGCTGCCCATTCTCATTCCCACAGCAGGGGATGGTGAGCTGGCTGCCTCACCTCTGTCAGCACTAATTCAGGCCAGGATTGCCTCTTTTGCCTCTTTTCCTGAATCTAGAAACACAGGAGCACAGAATGTGGGGTTTGGGTTGGAAAGGACCTTAAGGATCACTTCACTCCAATCCTTTGCCATGGGCAGGGACACCTTCCACTATCCCAGGATGCTCCAAGACTCATCCAACCTGTCCTTGGACACTTCCATGGAAAATGCCATCCCAGGAAAACAACTGGCCTTGAGTGACTTCCACAATTCATCCAAGTGGGAATTTTGCCACACCAGTTTGCCTGACTATTGTAAATGCAGGTGAACCTGGTGGGAAGAAATGCTGATGTCTGACTCCAGCTCAGAAGGTTGAATGATTTCTTTATTATAACTATACTATAATACATTAATATACTACTTAAAGGAGATACTAAAACTACAAACCTACTTTTTCTAACTACCACATCTAACTCACAACTCGTGACCCTCTCTGAGAGTCCAGCCCCACGTGGGTTGGTTTGGCCACCAGGCTCAAACAATCCTCACCAGAATCCAACCAAGCACTCACCCCAGGTAAACAATTCTCCAAACACATTCCCCATGGGAAAACAAGGAGCAGAAGTAGAAATTGTTTTATCTTTCTTCCCTCTGTGCTCCTCTATGAAAAAATCCTGAGAGAAAAATGTGCCTGCCACACCTCTCCTTGGACACTTCCAGGGATGGGGCATGGAAAATACCATCCCAGGAAAACAACTGGCCTTGAGTGACTTCTACAATTCATCCAGGTAGAAATTTTGACACACCAGTTTGCCTGTCCTTGGACACTTCTAGGAATGGAGCATGGAAAATGCCATCCCAGGAAAACAACTGGCTTTGAGTGACTTCCACAATTCATCCAAGCAGAAATTTTGCCACACCAGCTTGCCTCGGACACCTTTATCACTCATCAACCTGCCAGAAACCACAAGGGCTGAAAAGAACTCAGAATCACAGAATCACAGAATCAATCACAGAATCACAGAATAACGCGGTTGGAAGAGACCTCTAAGATCATCAAGTCCAACCTACGCCCTAACACCACAACCAGACCATAGCACCAAGTGCCAAGTCCAGCCTTTTTTTAAGCACATCCAGTGATGGTGATTCTACCACCTCCCTGTGAAGACAATTCCAGTACTTTATTATCCTTTCAGTGAAAATTTTTTTCCTAATATCCAACCTAAACCTTCCCTGACGTAGCTTGGGACTGTGTCCTCTTGTTCTGTCGGAAGATCCCGACCCCCACTCGCACTCAAAGCTCCCGCCCCGCACCCAAGGCGCGTGAAGATCTCCAGCATCCCCTCCACGAGCCCCTCTGTCCCCCGGCTGCCCCAGGGCCCCCTGTACCTGGCGGGGGCTGCACGGACTCGAGGCAGGCGTAGATGCAGCCGTTGTAGCAGCAGCGCTTGTGGCGCTGGCACTCGGCGTCGGAGCGGCAGCTGGGCACCTCGCAGGCGCGCTCGGGCAGGCTCTGCGGCGGCGGCGGGCACCGGTCGTTCTTCTGCTGCTGGGAGCTGTGAGAATGAAGAGGGTACTCATAATCCTTTGCAAAGAGAAGAAAAGGAAGTCAGGTTGGGCGTGAGGTGAGTTACGGAGCATCCCGCCGGAGGATGGTTTCAAAGGGGGTTTTTGAGCGTTCGGTTCTCCTCTCGGAGAGGGGAGATAAGTGTGCAGCTCCCCCTGCACTGTGGGATCCCTGTTGGAGAATGGTTGCAGGAGAGGGGTCATGGATCAATGGAACAGTTATACATTGATAACTCTGTCTAAGACCCCAGAATCAGAACCAGGCTGTGTCTGGCCTGGGAACAGAGCTTGGGAAATAGGCTCTGTGTCTAGGTCTGGGAAACTGTACAAGGTCGGAATGAGATAATAAGGACGAGCATATCCTTGGAGATTTGCTTGTACAAGAATAGGCTGTGTGACAAGATGTGCCCAGAGAAGATGGGATGTACCAGAACAACGTGACTAGAGATGAGAAACTTGGCTTAAGAAACAAAATTAAGCCACAGGCAGAGGGAAGACAAGCACAATCAGTATGATTGATAAGCAAGCCTCATTTATTCAAAAATCCTGTCAGTTTATATAGGGTTTGCTACAAGCAAAGTCAGCAACAGCTCTCATTGGTCAATTTAAGGTGTTTGTTCTGTTTAGCCTACGTGCATTTACAACTATAGCCAGGTTTCTTAAGCCAAGTTTCTCATCTCCATAGTCACATTGTCCTGGTACATCCCATCTTCTCTGGGCACATCTTGTCACACAGCCTATTCTTGTACAAGCAAATCTCCAAGGATATGCTCGTCCTTATTATCTCATTCCAACCTTGTACTATTTCCTGGGCCTAGACAGACCCTGTACAGTTTCCCAGGCCTGGACACAGAGCCTATTTCCCAAGCTCTGTTCCCAGGCCAGACACAGCCTGGTTCTGATTCTGGGGTCCTAGACAGAGTTATCAATGAATAACTGTTCCATTGATCCATGACCCCTCTCCTGCAACCATTCTCCAACAGATCCCCTCAGTGGAGCGCTTTGGAAACACCAAACAAGCACTAAGTCATTGTCATTGCAATCTCCCAATTTATAATTGAGGTTATTGCATTGAAAAATAGGAGGTTTAAAAAAACAAATCCTTTAAAGTCTTTTATACTTGCCTGGGAAACTGAGAGAAAATCCCAGGCATCCTCATGATAAGGACACCAAAACACTTTGTTGGGGAAGCAGTGGAAATGAGGGCACTGTGCTGTTTTGGGGCATGGGATTAATGTCCTTGGTAGCACCTCTCTCCTCAGTGAGCTCCCTCCATCTCCATCACTTTGTCTGGACCAGAATTTATAGGGGAGCCTTTCAAGTTTATCCACAGTGGAGCTCTGGGCTGTTAAATTAGAGACTGTTTCTAAACCATGGGACATTCTGGGTGAGATCCGTGAGAGTGATGCCAGCTTGGTCCCAGAGAAAATGAGCCCATGTTTCTCTGCAGTGGAAAGAAGCTGAGCTTCTCCCTGCACACTGACAGGACAAGGGAGGTGTAGGGTGCATTAACAGGCCCAGGAACATTTAAGAGGCAGCATTCAGATATTTTTCACTCTGGGGCTGTTTTAGCAAGAAGCCAAATCCCTCCAGCAGAAAGGGGAATTACCCCAGCCTATTCTTTTCTCACCTGTGTCTCATCCACTCCCTCACCTCTGGGCTGCAGAAAGTGCTCAGGGCACTCAGGTCTCAGATTTATTAACAACCCTTTATAAGTTCTCATAAAATCACAAGTGGATTCTGGATTTGCACTTTTAAAAGAGATCAGCATCAAGCCAGGGGTGTGAAGTGAGCTCTGCCATGGCCTCACAAGCAGGCTGGTAAAGTCACAAATACATAAAAATATGTGTAAATATACACTTGGCCAAATCATTGGTCTGTTACAAAATCAGTGATGAGAAACTGGGGTTGTTATTCCAAGAATAAACATGGTACAACAGTCTCTAGGGGTTTCTAAGAAATTTCACCACCAGACCATGGAGAAATTTGAGGTGAGGTTGTTAGTGTTCAGGAACACACATAATCACAGGATATGATTATCTGCAGGTGCTTTTATTGAGAGCTCTGGGAATCAGGGGTACAGACCCAAATCTGATTCCGACATGGTTTTCAAGCTGAACGTATTTTATATTCTATCCTTATATAACTTACATATTAATTATTAAGCTTATATTGTTCTATTGTATACATTGACTTTATTCAAGCATGAGTTTCTCGTGATCTATCTTAGGCCCCTGATCACAGTTTCTCATTATTTTTCTTATGATTAAACAGTAATTATATTTAATTACTAAACAATCATCACATCTAACAATTATATAATTTATCATGTACTAGCTACACAGTGCAGTTCTAGCAAGGTACAAGGCCTTCATGTACCTAGGGTATTTATTTTATTTTTTTTTTTCAGGGCCTACTAAGCTTAATTTTCCTTTTAACCCTAAATCCCCATAATTTTAAAACCCTTTTACTATCAAGGTTGACATCCCTCTCTACATCCTGCTCCATCCTTATGCTGTAACTCCCAATGCTTTGGGGCATCTGTCCTTTGACAACAGCCTGTTCCCACATGGATTCTCCCAAAAGCTGCCCAAGGAGAGGAGTGTCAGAGGAACAGAGAATTCCTGATGTTTTCACTAATGGCAGTCTCCTGCCCTGTTCCCAATATCAATAAAAAATTCCTGCTTTTTCCTTTAAAACTCTTCTGTGGCATTGTTTTCCCATGAACTGATAGGCTGTTTAAACCACTAAAAAGGTTTGGAAAAACTCAATTTTGATGATGTTGTCCATGCTGAAGGTGCAAGCTCTCATATTTGTCCATTCCTCAACAGCTGCAAACACTCCAAATTTGAAACATGCTTTAAAATCAAAGATATTTAAAATATACTTTTTTTTTTTTTTTTTCCTGGGGTTGCTGGATTTTAAATAGAGAAAAATGTCATACCAGCTATAATTTTGGGATATAAGGGAGCACCAAACTGTATATATAGTTTTATATATATAACTATTTATATATACATATATATACATATATATACATATATATATATAGGGATATAAGGGATCACTGTGCTATCATTTTGGGATATAAGGGATCACTGAATAATAAATCTGTACAGTTCCAAACACTGAACAGGTCTCCTTGCTGGAGGGAGTGTTCATCCTGGAAGCTCACAGTTTACTATTCTATTTGAAAGGTCATCTGCAGACGGAAATGGGACCAAAATCATACTGGCAAATAATGGATACACAAAAAAACCACCAAACAATTACTGCAGTTGCTTCACAGATGATTCAGAAACCAAGAAGCCAAAACTGCAATGAACAGCTGGCTCCATGAATGAAATTTCCGCTGGGGAACAATATAACAGTTGTAGCCAAATAACTTTGTACCTCCTGACCTCCCTGCTCATTTTCTCTGGTCACCTATTGCTCCCAACTCATTGTTTTCAAAATAAGAATATTTTGCTTATTTGGTTCAATAAACCCCCTTGTTTATGGGTGCATAAGACAGGATTCCCTCCTCCCCCAAAATAACCTGGGTAAGGATGTCTCCAGGTTTGAGTTATAAGGTTTTTTAAAAGCTCTCCCAGAATTCACAGTTTGGCTCTGATTTATTATTTTTGCAGATTGTGACGACAGTCAGAATTTCTTTGCAAATGTTTTTCAGTGCAGGAGGTAAATTTGTGTTTCCCAGGGCGACTTATTTAATAATTTAATGACAATATCTGCCTTGGAGATAGAAACAAAGTAAGGGAAAAGGTTCAGAGTTCAGCTGAGGAACTCTGAAAGTCAACAAAGATGAGGAAAAACCTGGATGGAATCACCCAGTCTCAGCCATAATTTCAACAGTAACTGAGGGATGCAGTCTACCTCCCAAAAATCCCAGATCTATTCTGTTATTTGTGTCTGGGACTGGTCCCTGAGCTTGTGTCAAAGCCCAGTTCTCTGCTAATTCATGTTCTGCATGGTGCCCCTCGAGGTGACACATGAGGTTTATTCCAGCCTCCCAACACCAGCTCTGGCCCAGGTGTTCCCAAACACTGGCCATAAAACAAAAACAAAAAAACATAAAAGCAAACAAACAAAAAAAAACCCCAAAAAACATCAATCAAACAAACAAACAAAAATAAAACCCCACAGTCAGAGGGAATTTTGAATCCTCCACTATTTTCATTAACGACCTGGAAAACCATCCACCAGTGATGATCAAAGTGGCAAATATCAGACTGAGAGCAGCTTAAAGACTCTGAAGGACAAGACCAAAGCAATAGGGATAATATTCTCCTGTTGTTAGCTCAGGATTTGTCATTTTGGTTCTGCTGTTTGCAGTTAGAAGGACACTGCAGAACTGGGGTGGGCTCCAAGAAGATGCACAATAATGAGTAAAAGGCTGGAAAGCAGGAAATACAGAAAAAGGTGTATTCAGAAGGAAATACAGGAAAAGGTATATTCAGAAGGAAATGCAGAAAAAGGTGCATTCAGAAGGAAATACAGAAAAAGGTGTATGTGCATGTGCAGGTTCCAAAGGGGAGGCTGAGGCTGCTCTGCTCACAGGTTACTCCGAGGATGTGGGGGCCAGAACTCAAAGAGGGTGATGATTTATGGCAGCTGGCTGCTGGGGGGTAAATAAATTGTTGGAAGAACATTACAGCAGCTGTGAGGAATTCTTCATTTCTGGAAAACTTTAGAAGAAGGCTGGGATTTTTCTAAAACACTTGCTGTAGTTGACAGTGGAATGAAATCCAGACTGGCCCAGTTTTTCCCAACAGACATGATGGGTGTTTTATGATGAACTGAACCCATTCCCAGGTAGCACCCTCCTTCTGCCCCTTGGGAACAGCCCCTGGAGGTTGGGGGCTGCAAACACCAGCTGCAAATCACTAAACTTGACAAGTATCCCTCTGGAAAATATATGGATTTGTTTTAAAGCCCAGCTCTTGCATCTCACTGTGTCGGACAGGTTTTTCTCCTCGTTGCCATCCTTCTTTCTCCCTTCTCCAGTCCCATTTGACCCCTCCTTGCCAACCAGCACCTTCCTCAGGGTGAATGAGAACCCCCTGTCAGCTCCTCATCCTCACGCCTCCCCATCATTCTGCATCCTGCATTTTTCTGGATGCACTCCTCCAGCTGTAGGCTGAGATTTTCTGGGCTCAGCCCACACAAAGCCGTGTCCTTTGGGGTGCCTGTGGCCCATGTCCCACCTGGCTGCACGTTGCCATCAGCACCTCCATCTGCCATCCCTCTGTCCAAGTGAGTCACAAATCAGCTGCTCTGCCCCCAGACTTTGCTTTTCCAACTGCAGGGAACACACAGCATTTGGTAGGAATAAAAACACCCCTCTGAGGAACCAGAGGGGCTGCCAGAGCTGCCTCCTGCTGCAGGAGAGGATGGAGAGCAGACGCCTTCCCCCTGACAAGGCTTTGAGGAGGAGAACGAAAAGTGTTTTCTGTTTTCCCTGGATCAATGTTTTTATCAATATGAGCAATTCTAGCTGAACTTGCCAGATCAGTAGCACCTGGATTCAGGGCTGCCAGGAAAAACAGCCCTTTGGAGAAGTGCAGGTTGAAAGGAGAGGATATATCCCCCAGGGGATCTGGCTGTGCCTTGGCAGGGCTCCTTATCTGAAAATCAACATGTAAATTCCTCTTCTGCTCCTATCCTGTCTCTCTGGGTCATTCATCTCATAGTTCCTATTAATTTTGAGCTTCACATTGAAATATGGCAGAAGAACATCCATATAAATGCACTTGCCAGTGAGTGATTTTGCAGGAAATGCAGCTCTTTACATCACCATTTTCCAATTAAAGTGCAAACCAGAGGATACCCTATCCCAAGAGAGGCTATAATGGAGAAGATTACTTAAAAAATCCTGAGGTGCCTTTCAAAAATCAGCACAATGTTTTCTGCACTATTTCAAGGAGACATGACAGAATTTGGTTTGCTCATCGGGGGCAAAGGATGTGTGTCACAATTCTGAGTCAGCAATTGCACAAACCAAATGTTGCCATGCATAAACATCACTCTAAAAGTCATGGGCACAAAAACATCCTTTTTGAATTAAAAGCTGCAGAAAACAGATGGAGGGATTTGCCTGTGACACCAGGGTGCTGTTTACACACATGCAATGGTTGGAAGATGCAATCAGACCTGAGCATAAGAAAATAAATTGTTTGGGGCTTGCACCCAAGCAATTCAAGGGGCAGAAAAACCTTGGCTTAGTGCTGGTTTCTAAAGGAACTTATATGGATCAAGTAAAAATTTCAAATTTATAACTTTTTTTTTTCTTTTATAAACAGCAGGTCCCAAACCTCAAACTATCAAATTCTTTTCCTTATTTTATTATTATTTTTTTTTAAATGCAATTTCCTCTGTGGCCATCTCTGGCAGTGGTTTGGCCCAGACACACCAGGGCAAGACCCAGCACCATCCCCTCCACTCGCTGCTGTCCCAGTTCCAGTTCCAGTTCCAGTTCCAGTCCCAGCCTCCTGCAAAGTGGGTTTGGAGGCTGTGCTCAGTGCCCTGTGGAGCTGCAGGCTGCCCTGGCAGGCACAGAGGGTGGCACCCAGGGTGTGCCAGGGCGTGGGCAGCAGCCCTGCTCGCAGGGGATGTGCCGGGCACAGCCTCGGGGATGGATTTCTGGGATCGCCCACTTCAGGGTGATGGGCACGCCGGTCTGGCAGCGTGGGGCCGAGCTCTCTGTGTGCTCCTGGGATTTACATGGATGGATGGATGCCACCATCCCTCCCCCCAGCACACTTTTACCCAAAGTTACCCCAAAAGGCAGCGCAGGAGCTGCGCAAGGAACTCTCCCTGCTCCAAGCAATAAATCCCATTATCTTCCTGCCACGAAACGTCTCCCCGGAGCCGCAGGGTTTGCATCCCCCTTCTCCCCGGTCCCTTTTCCCTGGGCAGCAGTGCCGGTGCCATCCCAAAGCTCCGTCCCTGCTCCCAGCGCTCTTCCCAAGCTTCCCCATACAGCAGCTAGGTGGCAAAAGTTTCGCACAGCCTGGGAAAACTTCCCGCATCGCTGTGACACAGCGCCAGCCCGCCGCTCCAGACACTCCTCATCCCCAAACACGTCAGGATAACTCCCCCTTTTCTCCGCGAGCATCCCCCGAGCCCACCGGGCCGTACTCACATCGTATTTCTCCGTCATTTTCAGCAGAGCGCGTTTCCAGAGAGCCCTGGCACAGCCCGGCCCGGGCAGCACCGCCAGGGCGCACAGGGCTGCGGCGAGGATCTCTGCACACAAACGCATCTCCGGCAGCAGCCCCGAGCCCGATTTTGGCAGGGAGAGGTGCGAGAAGGAGAAGAAGGAGCCCGGCAGCTCTCGGGATGCGGGCGGCTCCCAGGCTCGGCAGGGAGGGAGGGAGGGAGGCGGGGAGCGAGGGCTGAGCGCTCTGAGCCGCTTTTCCCTGAGCGGCTTCTGGGAAGGGAAAAGGGAAGGGAAAAAAAAAAAAAAAAAAAAGAAAGAAAAAAAGGAGACCAGAGGCAGAATCCGGGAGGTGCCGTTGAACTTCTCTCGGTTCGATCAGGTTCTCGGCTCGCAGGTTCGCACAAAGCTCACCCTCTCCTCGGGTGATGGACGGGAAGATTACTTGGAAAGATTATTTTTAGACCTTTGTTCTCAACATCTGGCATCCTCTGAGAGCCCCATTCAGAGCCGAAGCGTGGGATCAGATGACAGCTGCCGCAGGGGGAAATAAAGGTCTCGGAGGGGTGGGCTCGGCGGATTTTTGCAAATAGTTCACCCAAACTTCCCAAGAGGCCGGGCTCTCCCTTTGTGCGCTCCCTGCTGTGGGTTTGCATCACTTTGTCTCGACAAAGTGAGAACTTCATCTGGAGCCCGCTTGGGGGAAACGATTTAACAACATGATAAACATCCAGGGGCTTTCCTTAAACCAAGGTGACGCTGGTTTTCTGAAAACGATTTTGAAGGAGGGGAAAGACCGCTAGGAAAAAATAAATTGGGGTGTGGAATAGGGAAGGAAGGTGGTTTGGAAATGACATGAGCACGCAGAGAAAGCAAGGAAGGGGACATGAGTCAGGCTGTGCCTGACAATGGGAGTGACGGAAGGAGTGGACGTGGGGTTTTGGACATCTCCATGGACATCCAGGGCCTGGAGGATGGGAATGCTCGTGGAGTCAGGCTGAAAGCTGCCCAGCATCCTGCCTGGGATGGAGACAGAGGCAGCTGTTACATTCTTGTGTATAAATATGTATATCTGCTTGTATCTGACTGTAGAAACATCAGGAGGGCTGCTCAGGCTCGCGTGTTCGCACAAAGCTCACGCTCTCCTTGAGTGATGGACAGGAAGATTACTTGGACAGATTATTTTTAGACTATTTTTATATTATTTTTATGAACCAAATGTGGGGGCTGTTTGTTTTATATTTCCCCTGAGTTTCTCCTCCAGCAGCTTGTCCAGCCTCCACCTGAATGAAGGAGGAAACAGAACCACAAAAGTCATCAAGATACAGACATTAAGCCCTGATTGCCTTCACTTTAGCTCTGCTGAGCAGAGAGGAGCCCTGCTAGATGCCTTCATTTATTTTATATCCACTCTAAAATGGGTCTGCAGAGGAGTGAAGGAGTTATACCCTGTGGATACACAAAAAAAAAAACAACAAAAAAAAAACTTCCAATTACTCCTTATACCTGAAAGCTGTGGAAATTCACTTTGATCCATGCCCAAATGTCAATAGCTGCACGCTGGTGGAAGCCAAAGGATTTTGTCTAGAAGCTTGCCAGAATATGATAATGGGAACCTGAAAAAAGAGCAAGGTGTGCCTTAAAAAGCTTAGTATTGAAGGGAATATATTTGATTTATTTAGAGTTGAGGTTCCTAAAGTTTTTCTAGCAGTAACTGTGCTTTGGGCAGTTCTCTGTATATCTCTACTGCTATTAAAATGTTATTTGGAACACAATCTTCTCAGTTCATGCCAGGGAATTTTGCTGGGAAGTAAAACCAGGGATTCCTCTTATGGGGAGAAAGGGAATGAAGAGTTAAACTGGAAAGGGTCACCTCCCTCACAGCTGCAGAGGTACAGGGTGGGGGATCCCAGTGGGACAGCACAAATGCTGTGACTCTGCATGGTCTGGGATTCCCAAAGGAGCTGTGCAGATGCAATGAGCCTGCATTGCTGCATTTCTGTAAACCCTGCTTGGTCCATAGAGCCATCCCCACAGGTGCAAGCTGGGTTTTGGGGGGTGGCAGGGTTTGAGGTGGCCCCATGGTACAGCCCTTTCGGGCACAGCATTTGGGCTGGAGAGCCTTTTGTGTCACAGAGGCTTCCCCTGCAGCTGGCTGCTGAGAAGGCTGTCCCTGCAGGAGCACAGCTCCAGGTCCCTGTCACCTGCTCTGCCCCCTTTCAGCAGCTCTCCTCTCCCCCAGAGCTGCAGCCCTGCATTTAAAGCAGAATTTATCCTCCAAACAGGCCATTTTCCTCAGGCTTCTCCCTTGATTCAGTGGTAACTGTGGACAGCTCACAGGCCAGCCCATGGAAAAGTGACTCCCTAAGGACAGAAGTGTCACCTTGGGATGCTGGCAGAGCTCAGCACCTGCAGGTCACTGTCACCTCCACCCAGATCTCATCCAAAACCATCTGGAATCTCTGCTGCAATTACTGAAAGGCTCACTCAGCTTCAGTGCATCCATAGGGGAATGAACCACTGCCATCTCTTCCACCTCTGTCTTGATTTTTGACTGCTCACAGGGCTTTGTCTGGCACCACAGGATTCTCCAATTCCTTTCACAAATGCTGTTCCAATATTAATACCTGCACCTGGACCCAGCACCTCTCAGGCACATCCACCCCTGCCCTGGCTCCTGTGCTGTGAGGTGACAAATGACATGGCTGCTTGCACAGAGTAAACAAGATTTTTCCTTGGAGTATTCCTACTTTAATTTATGTCCTTGTGCTGATCTTTCACTGCTCTGTGCTCGCTCTGAAACCCAAACCAACTGCTCACGATAAATCTCCCTAATTTAATTCCATTTTTTGTTGTTTCATATACTTGCAATCTGGACTTGGAGCAACTAATTCCAAAGATGAATAGCTACTTCAGACACCATTTACTGGCCTTTATTTTTGCAGATACACAGCTTTGACATTTATCTGGGAAAAAACAAGAGTCTGTGCCTTGCAGTCCGTGGATTGTGCACTGAAGAAATGAGAATTCTGCAGGACCAAAATTCAACAGCCGGTCACAGTCTTTACATCCAAATGAAAGTGGATGTCATAACACTTATGGAACTGTAACTCATCCTGCACACAACTCTTTCATGAATTCTTCCTGCCACCCATCTCCATTCCTCACCTGCTTCTATCTCCATTCTCTGTTGGAAGCTAGAAAAGAGATTGTATCTTTTTTTTTCAAGATTAAAAAAAAACTTCCCTGGCAATACTGGAAAAAATATTTTTCTCCCCTTTGCTGGACATTCATCTTCTTGGCAGTCCCTGGCTGGGCTGTGTTGGCACAGCACAACTCCAGGACATCATTTATGCCATTCAGAGCCACATTTTCTTCTCATTTGGAGCTCAGTGAAACCTAAAACACGAGAGACCTCAGTCCACTCACTTATGGAGGCATTTTTCCTCCACTGCAGAGCAGTTCCTGCCCTACCAAATGCAGTTTTGAATGGCCCATTTAGACAAAAAAGAGAAGGAACAGCCTTGACTTTCTGAAGAATTCCTTGTTTAACACTGGCAGGTTTATGTCTCCACTATTAGTGTAAGCATTCTGAGCAGCTTGTGCAGAAATTCTAGGCACAAATCTGTACAAACCCAACCACTGACAATAATCAAAAATTTCAAATTGATTGCTAAGCAGGTGTGTGAGTTGTGTAATTCAAATGCCAGGTGTTTGATGATGAATGGTGATTTAAAAGCAATTGTCACAAGAAAGTAAAAAATAACTTCCATTAAAAAATAACTTCCATTTTCTCTTCAATACATCTTATCCACACACAACAGGAGGGCAATAATGGTTTACTCCAAGTGGAGTTTGCACTTCCATAGGGAGTGAGTGCATGGCCATCCTATGCACAGGGCAATAAGTGATGCTGGTATAAGAAATAATGGAATTATTGCAATGCCTTGTCTGGATTTGACTCCAGTTTATGTGAAATCTTGAGCAGCCAGCAGGCCAGCAGTTAAAATCATTTTTATCTTGACATCACTAGGTCAAGGTTTCTCTGCGGTGAGATTTGTGGGGCAGCTCCTCACACCAAACCCCTGCTGCCTGCAAGGATGCTGAGTGAGATTGCCCCATCCTTCACCCCTGGGCAGAGTCACCCACAAGGCTGCTGCTGATTGGGGTTGTTTCTAATAAAGGGATGGGACTATTGTTGGCTTAAGAATGATTTATTGTTTCCATAAACATTAGTCTGAGAGGCTGGGAGAATTTAGAGGAGTAGGTAGTTGGTTACAGCACAAAATAGTTGTAAGTTTTTAATAACGATCCATTAGTTATATTTTAGTTTCTAATAACTATTCAGTAGTTACAAGTTTTTAATTATTATCCATTTAATTAAAAAGCGCATCTTCTTAATTAAAAAAGATTTTAATAACTATAAGTTAATAACTATAAGTTTAATGATAAATTAACTATAAGTTTTTAATAACTGTAAGTTAACAACTATAAGTTTAACTATAAGTTAACTATAGTTAATAACTGTAAGATTTTAATAACTATAAGTTATAGTACAAAGTAGTTATAAGTTTTTAATAACAATTTAATTAAGAAGTATAACTTTTAAATTAAGTGGATAGTTATTTTGTTTTTCTAACTTATTGCTTTTGCCTACTTCTGATGTACTGTGGATAATTTTGCTTAATAGACTGTTGTTGTCTGTATACACATGTTTTTATTATAGCTTTTAAACTCTTAAATGACTCTCAATATATAATATATAATAAATATATAACATATAACATATAACATATAACATATAACATATAA